TATTGATACTTATATTGATATTGATATGTATACTCATACTCATACTGATGTTGTTATTGATAATGATACTAATACTGATAGTGATATTGATACTAATACTGATATTGATACTAATACTAATACTAATACTAATACTAATACTAATACTAATACTAATACTAATACTAATACTAATACTAATACTAATACTAATACTAATACTAATACTAATACTAATACTAATACTAATACTGATATTTATATTGATATTGATATTGATATCGATACTGATATTGATACTATTAATGATACTGATATTGATATTATACTGATACTTATACTGATACTGATACGAATATTGATACTGATATTTATACCCATACTTATACTCGTACTCATACGCATACTCATACTCATATTCATACCCATACTCATACTCATACTCATACTCATACTCATACTCATACTCATACTCATACTCATACTCATAGTGATACTGATACTAATATTGATATTGATATTAATACTGATACTAATATTGATACTGATACTAATACTAATACTAATACTAATACTAATACTTATATTAATACTAATATTAATACTAATACTAATACTAATACTAATACTAATACTCATAGAGATCTTCCTCAAATTTCAGTTTGCAATCTCAACAAATCCGTAATCAATACCTACTTCATAAAAATCAATCTCGTAATATTGTACGTCGATTTCTTTTCATTGGAATATCAAACCATTTTGTTTTAGGGAAAGAGATAATTTCTCTAAAATGTTTTTAATGATCCAAAGAATACACACACATAATGTCCTCGTTGGATTGACAACATCCATTTTCACATATGTATATTTTACTATATATTTCGCACATTATTTTTAATGTGTTTTTTTCATTCCCTGACCAATGTAGAATTTTTGCTATATAATTTATATATTTCTCTAGTTAGTATAGGTTTTTCTGCAAAAGCATTACTTCTAAATTCTAACATGCTTGCACAAATAATTATTCCTATTTCAAAACATGCAAAATAAAATATTGTCACAAATACATCTAGGCACAATGTTTGTAATATATCATAATATTGGAATTACAGTGAATGAAGAAGGGTGAATATATGTCATGTACATAAAGATTCAAAAGATTAATAGCAAAAAATCATCATGAACGTACAAACTAATAATATTTTACGTAAATATTAAAAAAATGATAAAAATAAAAGAATTATTACGATACGTACAAATTAATATTGTAACATGAAAATATAAAACTAAAGAAGATTTATTTAAATATATTCAACAAATCATATAAGAATCTCTATTACAAATAACGAAATACATACATGAGTTACTTTAATATTTTTTTATTACATTATCACCTTCATTAAACTCAACTTCTTCTTCATCGAAACTAAACTTACAATTATTGAATGTATAATCAAAGATGGAAAACCAGAAGTAAAAGTTTTTAAAATCCATCCATATAATATATCTAAATCATATATTTGCATACACAACGCCACAATGCTTCTCTCTTGCGGACGTCGCCGCATATAACACACACGATGTTATTCATGGTTCTGAAAATTAAAAAGAAAGCAAACAATGATTCGTTAGATTATTATACATACGCATACATAATAAACGTATAACGTAATAAACACTTGACGATAAATAAAATGCTTCAAAGCGAGCATGCACATCGCACAATAGTGATCGCATTATAAAATTATAAAACATAAATATGAAAAAAAAAGCTTTAAGGCGAGGACCTTGGTTTAGCATGATCATAACAAAATGTGTTGATAAAGAATGAGATAAATGAGTTTGTGTTGATGATATTTATACTTAATTTTCACATACTAAATAAGTTAATAAAATAACTTTAAGCAAACAATATATTTTATTATTTGTTTGTGTTACTCGGTTAGAACAAATCAAACAAATTCAAACAATTAGAATTAATAAGAATCCGAAATTATTGAGATGCATAATAAATAAATGCGATTGTTAGGGGTTACTAAAAAAATATTCAAATCACATGTATTGATTTGACTATAACATTAAATAGTAATGTATTAAACAGAATCATAAATAACATAACCAAGGAAACATAAAAAAAATAACCAAACAATCAAATCAATTAATCTACCTCGTAAAAATTGGCTAATGGATATAATTAACAAAGACAAATTAAAGATATGAAAGCATGGCTTTTAAAATATTACCACTTTTACGTGTTTATTAGGTACAAAATATTATGCTCATAATTTATTTAACATAATACACACATTGATTTGATACAGTAATAAATAGAAACCTAAGTAATATCAATTTGTATATAACAAAGGCAAACATAACAAAAAATAAATAAACAAATAAAATCAAGTGATCAATCATAACCTTAAAATTAATACTTTTAATAAGAATATCAAACAAATCGAATCAAGTTATTAATTATATCTTTAAAATCAATACTTTTCATAAGAATATCAAACAAATCAAATCAAATTATTATTTTATGTTAATGTAAGACATTATTTTTTTTCTTCTCTAAAGTATAATTTGATATGCAAAATAATCATTACAAATACTTATGTTACAACATTATCGAGAAAAAAAATCATAATGAAAGATGCGAGGAAAATTAAATAAATAAAATAATTTATATAATTAAAAATTATTAAAATA